GATGTTCTATCTGCCTACAATTTTAATTTGGTAGAGTTCTTAATACTTGGGCACTCGTGTTATTTTCTGTACACTCCCTGTGACCACGAAGAGAAGGGTATTATGTAAATATGAATCAAAACAAAACAGGTTGCTAGAGCTTATGAAGACTGCGCTAAGGCTTTCGGAGCACTCCAAATATGATGACAACGATATTGTCAACAACCTAAATGAGTATGTACTACATTTAGGTCCCCACCCCCAGGACTCCACAATCTACAACTGTAGCAAAGCAGAATTGATTTATTCTAGGGGGTCTGTAACATATTTTTTTAAATAAAACCCACCAGGTCCCTTATCTGTAATAAAAGTGAGGGTGCTATCATCTGTTTATTGACTAAATGTGGAGTTTTTAATCAATCAATTAAACTATGACAAAGCAATAATTTTGGAGAATAAAATCATGTTTTCATTGTTCTTTAATGCTAAGTGCATATATCTGAAAAGGCTCCCTGTGTGAGTGTAACGGTATATTGCCTCTTCTAAGGCAGTGCCTTCTATCTGCATTTTTACATTATTATATTTAAAACAATTATTAGGTTGTGTGTATATATATACATATACATATACATACACACATATCTATCTATATCTATCTATCTATCTATCTATCTATCATCTGTCTATCTATATATCTATCTCTCTATCTATATGTATGTATGTAGCCCAATTAATTAGGGATTCCGTTTAGTGGCCTTTTAATCATAGAATTGTAGAGATGGAAGGTTTCTAATCAATTGAATTGATCAAATCTAATCAATCGCCACTCTACAAAAAAACCCAGAGGTAAACACTGCCTGCAGATGTGATATCTGATCAATGAAAGTTGCAAATGTGCCATTAGCTAGGGATGCAAAGATCAGTCTATTTCAAGTCATGTCAGTTTCACATGTATTCATTCATAAGTTTGTTTTGTTCTATTTTCACATAAATCAGTAATTTAAAGAACATACAAAAAGTGTATTAAAATATGCATCTGATCACAAAAATACTATTTAAATACCCTAGTTTTTCTTGGGGAGGGCAGCTAGCTTGGCCTTTATGCATCCTATCGCATTTATTTCTAACTCATTTTGAGTTGTGTTTTGGGCAGAGTATTATATTGCAAAAATTTAGGGATGGGAAAATTCCAAAGGACAGACCTGGATCAAAATGGGGGAGGGGGGGAGGAGAGAATGTGTGTGCTCTGGGTGGTGGTGGCAGTGGGGGGTGGCAAATCCATATTCTGCATGGAATAGAGAGGAGAGAGGCATGTTGAAGCACATGCTTAGCGACCCCTTGTGTCCCAACTGGGTTCCCCTTATCAGAAGAAGTGGGTAGACTTAATTTTACTTCATGGTGGCGCTGTGGGTTAAACCACAGAGCCTAGGACTTGCCGATCAGAAGGTTAGCGGTTCGAATTCCTGCGACGGGGTGAGCTCCCGTTGCTCGGTCCCTGCTCCTGCCAACCTAGCAGTTCGAAAGCACATCAAGGTGCAAATATATAAATAGGTACCACTCTGGCGGTAAGGTAAACGGCGTTTCCGTGCGCTGCTCTGGTTCGCCAGAAGTGGCTTAGTCATGCTAGCCACATGACCTGGAAGCTGTACGCCGGCTCCCTCGGCCAATAAAGCGAGATGAGCGCCACAACCCCAGAGTCGGCCACGACTGGACCTAATGGTCAGGGGTCCCTTTACCTTTACCTTTTTATGTTAAACCACATGCTCAGTGACTCCTTGTGTCCCAACTGGGTTCTCCTTATCAGAAGAAGCGGGTAGACTCAATTTTACTTCATGGAATTTTACTTCATTGTAACCCATTTTGATGTGCAGGAGCTTCTCATGAAAGCCCCTATAGGCAAACCCTCAGGAGGAATTCACAGTCACACCACCCCCGGCAGAGGCGGATTTAGGGGAGCACAATTGGTTTGGTTGCACTGGGCATGGAGCCTCGGGGGCGCAGTGGGGGGGTGGCACAACTATGACTTAGAAATTTTGGTGTTGCACAGGGCGCCACTGAAATTTGAGACCCCAAGGTCTACTGCTGCCCCAAGAAGAGCCCAAAACTTTCAGGCAGCTGTCGATCTACTTTGTATATAAATTTATATATGGTGCCTGCTCAGGGCTGGATTTAGGTTTGGTGAGGCCCTCAGCTACTGAAGGTAATGGGGCCCTTTACATGTCTGGCCGTCCTTTGTCAACAACAAATTGTCGCTTTTTTGTGTGTTGAATATATACTATATGGTAAGTTATGGACCTAATAGGTATCTAAAGCCATTTGCACATAACAAAATATGTATTTTACCAAAGTAATTGTTGAACTGAAATATAACTAAGAAGAACTATATTAATAGTGAAATACAATTAAGAAGAAGTATATTTTGGGGGGCACCCCAAGAGAGTGGGGCCCTAAGCTATAGCTTGTTTAGCTTATACGTAAATCCAGCATTGCGCTCGCTCTCGCTCTCTCTCTCTCTCTCTCTCTCTCTCTCTCACACACACAACAACAACAACAACAACAAACAGCAAATAGCCATTTTAGTAGGATCCAGTAGGTTAGCAAAGGGTGATGCAGCTGTCAGCATGCCAGACTTTGGCTGGGTGAGACCTGGGTTCACATCTCTGATGTTCAGTGGGTAATCTGTGGCCAGGCATTATCTGAGCATAGCCCACACCGCAAGGCTATTATTAGGAGGGAGAAGTGAAATGCCCACACCTGTGTATACCACCATGAGCTCAGGTGCTCTAGCAAATAATGCTATTGCTACTGTTCTGAAGAAAAAAGGAAGACCTGGAGCTGTGATCCCATTGCATCCTTCCTCTGCTACACTGCTGCTTAATGGTCTCCCTTCTTTCACCAAATTTTTATTAGGCATTACAAATATAGCCATCATAAGACATCGATATATACATTTTAAAAATATATACAAGTTTTTAAAATACAGCGGTACCTCGGGTTACATACGCTTCAGGTTACATATGCTTCAGGTTACAGACTCCGCTAACCCAGAAATAGTGCTTCAGGTTAAGAACTATGCTTCAGGATGAGAACAGAAATTGTGCTCCGGCAGCGCGGTGGCAGCGGGAGGCCCCATTAGCTAAAGTGGTGCTTCAGGTTAAGAACAGTTTCAGGTTAAGAACGAACCTCCGGAACAAATTAAGTACATAACCAGAGGTACCACTGTAACAACAGCAACAACAACAACAATTTTATTTATATCCCGCCCTCCCCAGCCAAAGCCAGGCTCAGAGCGGCTAACAACAATAAAAGTAACACAGAATGGACCTCCGGAACGAATTAAGTACTTAACCCGAGGTACCACTATATATACAAAGCAAGAGCCATATAAAAATGCAATGATGGCGATGTTCATTGAGGTTTCTTCCCGCCATTCACCACTCTAAGAGATACTATTGACAAAAACTCAGTGGCCCTTGCAGTTACTTCCGGGTTAATGTCAGAGAGATAGAATCTAATATTTTCAATGGTCTTATGGGGGTTATGAATATCACTTCACTTACTGAAATCAAAAACAAAGTTCAGTAAGATAAAATATATAGAATACCTCTAAAAAATATAGAAAACTCAAGCACTGCATTAGAATATTAACAACCTGAAAATTTATCCCCTAAGCTGGCTAACTCACCACATCATCTAGGCAGACTAACCCACTGGGTGAATTCTCCCTGACCAGGTTACATATAATTCCCCCCCTCCCCATTTTACCATTTTAACAAGAAGAGCAGTTGGGCTGAAACATGTTTAGCTTTCAACAAATTTCATTGTCATCTATTGGTCCTATTAGGTCCTATTAGGTTGTTGATCAGGCACTGACCCACCTGATCAAGTCAGATTGTTTTTGTATTTCAAAAATTTTGCCTATATCTTAATATTCTTATTTTGGATTAAAGTTGCACTTAACTTTTCTATATTATTTACAAGCATTCTATATCTTTTTTTCTCCAGCTTTGGCATCAGCATATTCTTGCGTGCGAAAATATAAGAAAGAACTATTGCCTTTTGCAGTCTCTTATGTAATATATAACTACGTTATTATTATTTTTAATGCACACTTAGACGTGACAGAGATGAACAAGCCCTTGCAAAGGTGAATGAGATTTGGTTTCTCAAATAATTGAAAGGTTTCTAAAACTCCTATCTATTAATCCACTTGTGTAAGTAGATAATAAATGTGTGGGTCATGTTTTCCTTTTATCTGTTCACCACCCTCTGCTATGAACCGAAGCACAAAAGATGGCGGACTATTATATTCAGACATGGACCCTTATAGGTAAGCACCATTCTGAAATTAAGAGAATTTCCTCCTGCTGAAATTCCTGAATAAGCATAACACTCCTGAAAAAGTGGAGTGTTGTTTAAAGAGTGCTTAAGCACTCCATTTCGCGCTGCTGGTGGGGAGGGACTTTGCCTTTATTGGATGAACTTGGCAATTGGCATTCACAACAGCAGACCTAGCCAGAAAAGCAAAGCAGAACTCCTTCGACGCTGAGCGACGATACTTGACATACACTTCGCTCCAAATCACAAGATGATAACCTCCTCCTCCTTTCCCTAGTACAGTTTCACTTGGCATTTGGCAGTAATAGAGTTACAAAGAGATTTTATGCTAGTGCCTAGTGTCTGATTCCATCCCAACCTCCTACAAAGTTGCCAACCCTTTGCAAGTGGCAAAATTGGGAGGCGGCCATTTTGGCAAAACTGGGGGAAGCCAGAAGCAATGTCTATTCAGGCATTGTGGCTGGTGGTAGGCGTTGGGTTTCCTCCCGGCTCATGGAACCCTTACAGGAAGCCCTGCTCTCACATTGAACGGCTTCCAAGTGATGCCATGCAATGCCCAGTTCCAAATCCAATCAGAGTGAGGGCAATTATTCCTGCCTCACCGCCAACCCTAAGACAGGAGTCCCACAGCCTACATCCAGTCCTCAAGGTCTCTCTATCAGGTCCTGGGGATGCTATGAGTGGAATAGCTCAATCAGTAAAGCATGAGACTCTTAATCTCAGGGTTGCGGGTTTGGGCCCCATGTTGGGCAAAGCATTCCTGCATTACAGGAAGTTGGACAAGATGACACTCGTGGTCCCTTCCAACTCTATGATTCTATGATTCCCAGGCTACACGCCTTTCCCACCGGCCATACCATTTCTCACTAGGCCACACACCCCTTGAGTGCTTTTGCCATTCTGGAATGTGTTATAATGCCTCTTCCTGACCTGGAATAAGAATTCAGAAATGTGCATTTGTGTGCCTGTGTACATATCCTTTTTTGTGACTAATTTTATTAAGACAGCATCCTGGAGGCCTTATGCTTAGAGCAGAATGGCAGGATACAAATATACATGTAAATACAGTGGTACCTCGGGATGCAAACGGGATCCGTTCCGGAGCCCCGATCGCATCCTGAATAGAACGTAAGACGCGACAGCATGTGAGTGACGTCATTTTGACCGTCTGCACATGCGCAAGTGGCGAAACCCGGAAGTAACACGCTCTGTTACTTCTGGGTCGCCGCAGAGCGCAACCTGAAAATATTTATCCTGAGGTATGACTGTAAATACATGCATGCAGGAGTACACACACACATCACTTTTTCTGCTCTTTTCCTCCACTGAAAAGCTGAAAAGTTTCTGTTGGAATGTTTTAAAGGGGCAGCAGGAGGTGAGGGGAAGAGTTTAACAGCACACTCACCTGTTGGGTTTCTTGGTAAGGGGGAGGGGGCACAGTCTGTGTGGCCATCATTGTCAGAGCTGGCGCTGGGGAGACATGTTGCATCCTGGGGTTGATTCACATCTAGAACCTGTTGGTGGGAGAAAGTTCAACTTGGGTTAAGGAACCGCAGGAGGAAGAGGACAGAAGGAAGCATGACACACATGCAAGAAGCTCAGGAAGACAACTGACGGTGGTGCCGTGAGGTAATGACTGAAGAGTCTGAAGGGGCTTTCTTTGTGTCGTAGCATGTATGGTGAATATGATAAATTGTGTCTGAGTGCCCTCCTGCTCTCTCTGCTGAGTAGGAACCCTGTAAATCTGCCTAAAAGTCCTGCCCTGAGTGCCCCACTCTCAGCCACACCAAATTAACCCATCATGAAACATCAGAGGAAGAAGAAAGGACAATGTCAACATCTACTGGTGGCTCTTAGGAGCAGCTGACCCTTGGAAGGTATGCAAAACTCACACAGCAAATGCTCTCTGCCTACCATCATGAGGACACGCCTACAGGTAACAGTCCAAATTTAATATAATTTAAAAGATTTCTTCTGCAGGCACACATTTATTCGGCGATTCTCTGCCAACCATTCCATCATAACCACACACACACACACACACACACACACAATGAGATGGAGCTGCACTGATGGGTCTGAAATGGCCAGAATGACATGGGGAGAGGCTACCCACAAAGAGGTGCCTTCCTAGAATGGTGCCCATAGAACTTGTCCAGCAATGCCTCTGATGTTGTCATGCCCTGGAGAACATCTTCCTCAGACCTCCATGCATTAGTTGGAAGGCCTGGCGGTGAATGCTCATGTCAGGGGTAAAGGTAAAGGTAAAGGTAAAGGGACCCATGACTGTTAAGTCCAGTCACGAACGACTCTGGGGTTGCAGCACTCATCTCGCTTTACTGGCCGAGGGAGCCGGCGTTTGTCCGCAAACAGGTTCCAGGTCATGTGGCCAGCATGACTAAGACACTTCTGGCAAAACCAGAGCAGCGCACGGAAACACCATTTACCTTCCCTATTTATTTACTTGCACTTTGATGTGCTTTCGAACTGTTAGATTGGCAGGAGCAGGGATCGAGGAACAGGAGCTCACCCCGTCACGGGGATTTGAACTGCCAACCTTCTGATCGGTAAGTCCTAGGCTCAGTGGTTTAGACCACAGCGCCAACCACGTCCTTTTTTTAAAAAATGTATTTTTATTAAAGATTTTCTTGGTTTACAAAAATATGTGCAATGTCTCTCTCTCTTTTTTCTTCAAGTAACATTTTTTACAGATCAGTTTCATTTGTTGAGACATTGGGAAGAAAGGGGGGGGGGACTCACGTCCCTTTTCATGTCAGGGGTAGGGATGGACAAATCTGTCAATTCAGCTCTCTAGTTTCTCATTTAGCCAGCATGGTGTAGTGGTTAAGAGGGGTGGACTCGTAATCTGGTGAACAGGGTTCGCTTCCCCGCTCCTCCACATGCAGCTGCTGGGTGACCTTGGGCTAGTCACCCTTCTCTGAAGTCTCTCAGCCTCACTCACCGCACAAAGTGTTTGTTGTGGGGGAGGAAGGGAAAGGAGATTGTTAGCTGCTTTGAGACTCCTTAAGGGAGTCTCAAAGGCGGGGTATTAAGTCCAAACTCCTCTTCTTTCACACAGAAACCAAATATATTTTCATCTCATCTGGATCAGAATAAATTCAACATTCCCAAAGATAAATCCACACTTGATGTATTGATTACAGGTTGAGTTTTCACACCAAATGAGCCAGCTCTCTAGTGGTGCAGCAATAAAACTGCTAGCACATTTGTAAAGCTAAGCAGGGTCTGGTATGCTTTCAAGTTGGATGGGGGACCATGTGATGAGATTCCTGCATGTCGGGGTGCTGGACTAGCTGATCCTTTGGGTCCCTACCCAACTCTACAATTCTGTGGTTCTACCTCAAACACAAGGCTATTCAGCAAAATCAGTTTGCTTGTTCAGCTGTGAGTCACTGAGTGTGTACCATGTAAGCAAGTGAAAAACATCCCAAAATATTTGGATGAGACCCACAAATTACTCATTCTGATCCTTTTTCAGCAGAATGATGGCAGAATAAAATATCAGGTCTTTATTGTCTTTCATCAACAAAGAAGAATTCTCACTGGCTTCCAAGGTCTGTTCTAATTAATATCTAGGGTACCAAAACTCTTCAGATTATTCCCTCAAGATTCCATGTTAAATTATCTACACTTGCTCACTCAAAGTTTAATTTTAGCTGTAGCTCTATGCCCTCTTTTGTTAAAAGTGGTGAAAGGTTCCTTATTTCCACACAGTCTCAGTCATCAACCCAGAACCTGAGCATGTTCATACATTCAGGGCAAACACATGTGGGCTTCAAGTGGAGACCCAGCCCCATAATGTCCTCATGCACATAAGCTCTACTTCAGACCTTTTGCATTTGGCACTAAGCTTTGAAGGGGGATTTTAAGTGAGGAATGAGGAACTCTGGTAACAGAGGGTTCCAGATAATGGGATGGATTCTAGACACATCCACAATCCACCTTCACATTGAATGCAAAGGTTCAGAGTGGAGACAACATTTGTGTGGATGTTGGTGGACGTTGATGAGCTGAACTTGGTGCCTGTTCAGTCTCCTTGCCCAGGTGCTATTACATCCTGGCTTCTTTCTAAGGGCTTTTGATCTTCAATCTGGATTTGGACTAGGCAGTCTTTCAAGCAGAAGACTCCTTCAAACACAGGACTGTTCTCCGACAGCTCTTCGGGACATTTGGCTACCCTGTGGCACCATGATTCACGGGTGGCATTCTGCTTACCTTTTTCTGTTCTGATAATGGGAAGCAAGCTGCGCTAATGTATAGATGGAGAAAGAACTAATGCAGGATCAAGCCCTGGCAGATGTGGACTTCAGGGCTCAGGAAACTTGATGGCTAAATAAACCCTCCTTGTTAGAGGCAGTATGACTCTGAACACCACTTGTGGAGGGAAGCAGCAAGAGAGGGCTGGCATTCATTCCTTGCTTCCCAGAGGGCATCTAGTTGGCTAACTACAAGGAATAGGATGCTGGATGAGATGGACCTATGGTGTGATCTAGTAGAGGTTGGCCCATATGGGAAAATGGGGCACTGTACCACCAACCTCAGCCTGCCCTCAGCCAGCCCCCGCAGGCCTGCCTTCTTAATTACACTGAGTCTAGAACAGCGGTTCTCAACCTATGGGTCCTCAGACTACAACTCCCATCATCCCTGACCACTGGTCATGCTGGGGACCCACAGGTTGAGAAACACTGGTCTAGAGGTTGGCACGTTTGTACTTCCTCACCAGACCTTGCTGCTTCTTGCTTCTCATGACCTTGGACCCTCGGCCATCTTGACCCCCCAGATCATCTGACTACGTGAATTGAGATATTCCTGACCTTAGGACTGGACTGGACCTTGTATATGGACTCTGCCTCCTAGCAAGTACCCCCCTGAGTCTTGGCTTGCTGGCTTTTCCCTCCACTGAGCTCCGCCATGGCTGGCAGCAACCGAAGGAGACTGGAAACCCTGCTTAAGAAAGCTGGAGCCAGCAGGTTCTCATCAGGAGCAAGAAGACTGATAAACAGCAGGTGGAGTCACTTCGCCTTCTGCTCTTTCAGGCTGCTGCTCAGCAGGTGAAGCCGACTTCTGGCCCAGGACACCCTGCTTGCCATTGGCTCTGACTCCCCCTTCTGCTGACCTGCCCACCTGCCAGCCTACCAATCCTAAATGGCACTAGGCATCACTGGAGTGAGCTAGCAGGGCTCCTCTTAAATTCCTTATAGTGCAACTTCTCCTGACATGCCTGATCCTCACATGACTTGCGAATTGTGTTTCTTATTTTAAAAATGGGAGTTGGATCTTCTATTTTTGGGCTGCTATTTTTGACCTCCCCTCCTCCCACGGAATACTGAAGTTTTCATAGCTTTGGTGTTGTTTTATGCCTTAGATGACGGAATGGTTTTGATTATTATTAATAAAGTACATTTTGAAAACAGGCTTGAAAAACAATGGGCTCATTAGAGAAGCATTCATTAGATCTTGTTGACATTAAACCCATTAGACCAATTAACATTCCATTAAATGGCACTGAGCCTTCCTCAGAGCACCAATGAGTTAATCTCTGCATCACGATAATTGCTCTGTGAGCATCTGAGAGGTGTATCCTCAAACGCCGGAATTAACGACAGGCCCTCCCCCCTGAGAAAAATAAACCAGGACTAATTGTGAAGCCTCAAGACACTCAGGGTAGGCAAAACAACAGATCCACACCATCTCCCTAGCAGTGGAGCAAATGTTTGCTTAAATCAATGAC